ACACATAATGGCATTCTAGTAATGTAACTTTTCAAACATATAAAAACCTTGGACACAATTGAAAGGTTGCTGAGGGTAGCATCTTCCTCATCCTCTAAAGATGTAGCTGTGGTCATAACCACATTGATACCACATCCTATATAGCTGTTTTCATTGTCTTTGTCAAACAGCATTGGAAGAGTGCAGTACCTATTATATATGTATATTTTTGGGTTTGTTTTTTGAGACAGGGTCTCCCTGTAGCTCCAGCTGGTCTGTCTCACAGGGATCTGCCTGTCTCTGCCTCCCCAGTGCTGGGATTAAAGGCATGCACCATCACACCCAGCAATACCTATTATGTTTTTAACCCACTATTCCTAAATCAGAAATATAACTGGCTCTACCTTCTAACTCCATTTTCAAAAATATGAATTAACTATTTTAAGTTAGTTCCATTAAAATGATATAGCATGACTTGGGATAGCTCAGTGGTAACCTCTTAACTACCATACTCAAGGCACTGGCTTCAATCTCTAACCTTTCCAAAAAATGATAACAGTATCCTGACATTTATCTTAAGTTCTCTTAATGACTATTTACCAATCTGTTAAAATCTGGCAGGCATTAGGCCAGGCAGCATGGTTAGAGAAGGCATTTTGGTCCTTCTTCTTATGAAATTTATTATCCTAAGAGGTGAGGAAGAGAGTTAATGGATTTTGTTTTGTGATGCTGGAAATTGAATTTAGGGCCTCACATGCTTGGCAAGAGCTATATACCACTGAGCTATATTCCCAGCCATTTCTCTGTCTCTGTCTCTCTCTCCATGGTCCTGATATGTAGCCCAAGCTACATGTTGAGATCTCTCTGGCTCAGCTTCTCAGTGCTTGGATTATGAGCCTCTGTCACTATACTTTGCCAGGGGTTTAACTGTGTATAGGCTTAGAAGATGATGGAAATGAAATGCCATCCTGATTTTGAAGGGAAAGGCTGATGATTAAGTAGGCTTTGTATATAACATTGCTTTAAAACCTTTTTATTGGGCTCAGGGTATACCTGCCTGGTAGAGTGCTGACACATAAGAGGCCCCAAGGGTGATCCCTAGCACCGCAAAGATAAAACCCCTTTTATTGTGAAATTGTAGTATTATTCAGAAAAATGCACAAAGGAGGTACAGCTCAATAATTACGTAATCACTATGAAGATACAAAGGCAGGCATTACCAGGATTGCAGAAACCCTCTTCGTGTCTCCTAGAAAGCATTGCCTCCCCTTGTCCAATGCAGGGTTGGTTTCTGAGATATTTTGTTAGATTATTCTATTAGTCTGTCCAATAAAGAAAGTTTCCCATCCACTTTTGTTCTTCCTCATCTATGACTTCCTGGACTCTTGTCTCTGTGGTTTGTGTGTGTGTGTGTCTTGGAATTTTTCTTGCAGACAGCATGTTAGATCTTGAACTCCTGATCCTCCTACCTCAGCCTCTTAAGTCCTGAAAATGCAAGCATGTACTACCATACTTAACATTTTAGAAACAGGATCTTGCTGTGTTTTCCCAGGCTAGGCTTGAATTCCTGAGATGAAGTGACCTCCAGCCTCAACTCCCAAGTACTTGGGATCAACTCCAAGGATTTTTAAAAATTATTTTTATTTTATGTGTATGTGTGTATTGCCTGCATGTACGAAGTGCACCTGTGTCATGCAACACCCGGGGATAGAAGAGGCTATTGGATCCCCTGGAACTGGAATTATGGACACTTGCTAGCTGCCATGTGCATGCTGGGATTCGAACCTGGGTCTTCTGCAAGAGCAGCCAGTGTTCTTAACCACTGAGCCATCTCTCCAGCCACATCCAAGGGTTTTAATTTATTCAAAAAACTCTAGAATGCACTTCTTTTTAGATGTCCAGGTATTTGATGAAATTCCCAAACATATATATTTATCTTGGAACATAGTAAGTGGTTGTTTACTTTTTATTAATTTATGTGTGTGTGCATGTGTGCATGCATACACATGTGGTGCCACAGCACTGGAGCAGAGGTCAGAGGACAGTTTGTGGGAGTCAGTTCTCTCCTACGATGTGGCTCTCCAGGGATCAACTCAGGTTGTTAGGCTTAGATGCAGGCACCTTGCCTGCTGAACCATTTGCTGGCCCACATAAGCAGTTATTTTAAGGTCTATGTTTGAGAGCTTCAGTATCTCTATCCACTGTGGGCCTCTTTGCACTGTCGTTTTAAGTTTTCTGTCTTATATTCTGACAGGTTATATCCTTGTTGTAATCAAGATATACATTAGCAAAATTGCAGAAATAATCTAAGGTTTAGGATGAGATTTTCCTCTGGAGGCTATTTGCTTATGTCAGGGTAGGGCCATAGCACTACTATGGGATCACCTTGATCTAGTTTCAAGGCTGAGCTGACTGAAGCCCTGCTGCTATTCCCTGTGAGAACCCGTTACTGCTTGTTATTCATCTTCCCTGGGGTACAGAGGACTAGTGACCTCTACCCAAAGTGAAGGGACAGCACCAAGTCTAGCACCTTTGGACAAGCCCTATCCATTACCTCTGGAAAGCTCATGAATGACATCTTTACCTTGGGGCTAGAGGTGTAGCTTGGTTGTAGATTATGTATTTAGCATATACGAGGTCCTGGGATCTAGCCCCAGTACCTTAAAAAAATTCCAAAATCACTGATCATCCTGGTTGGCCTCCATGTTTGACAGCTGTGCCTATAATTCTAAGCCTTCTGGTCAGAGTTTTCATCTTCTCAGGGGCCTAGCTCAGTGATTCTTCAGAATGTTAGCTCTGTGATGCCTTCAGTTAAAAAAAAAAATCCTTTTGAATTGTTTGCTTTTTACTTCTTTTTGAGAGTCTTGCTACAATGCCCAAGGTGGGCTTTTGTTCACAATCCCATCCCAGCCTTGCAAGTGATGGGATGACAAGCATATAACAACATGCCCAGCATTTGTCTGTTTTTCATTGCTCAAAAAAACCCTTTGTTTTTTGATCAAGTTTTCTGTTTCTATGCTTATGCCTCCAGCCATTCTTCCCTGGATAATGAAAGCACACTTAACTCCATCATGGTGATCCAGCACTTGTGGAACATACAGGTCCTGCTGAGGTGCTTTCAGTTTTTCATCTCACAGGACCTGTAGGCCTCCAGCATGACCCCCTTGAAGTCGGCCACAAGGATTTTGGTGTTTTCCTGACTTGCTGGGTATAAAAGTAATTCTCTTGCCAGGGGTTCAGGGCAGACTTAGTTTTGATAGAGGCTGCAATACTGGGAAGCTTTCGATGGTATGTCAATTGATGGACCATTCTGAATGCTTCTAGACGCTGTCCCCAGAAGAGTCAAACAGATGTTCAGAATATTTTTTCTACTCTGCCTAGTTGTGGGATGGGCAGTCCAGATTACCTACACAAGTCTTCCTTGTCAGTTAAGTGTGACAGTTACTTTAAGAGTTTGGAACAGGGTACATGTAAGATGTCAGTGCACCGCTGTCCATCTTTGCCTCTGTTCTCTTTTTTCTGTTCTGAGGATCGACCCCAGAGTTTTGTATATGCTTGTATTAGCACTTGACCACTAAATTCCTGCCCCAGCTTATTGTCTTTGTTTTTCAGACAAAATCTAACCTTGAGCACAGAGGTCCACCTTCCTGCCTCAGGCTTGGATTACAGGTTATGCCACCACACTTAGCTTTTTCTGGTTTCTCAAAAAAAAAAAAAAAAAAAAGTACAGTGTGATCTCATATTTATTTACAAAACTGTACCTGTTTGCATATACACATAGTAAAACATTAAGGATCACATATCACATTACCGTGGTAAGGTCTGGATTGGAAGTGTGAGTTTAAGTAGCCCCAGCTGGCCTGGAACTTGCTATGTAGACCAGGCTGGCCTTGAACTCAGAGATCCACCTGCCTCAGCCTCCCAACTGCTGGCATTAAAGGCGTGTATCACCATGCCTGGCCATGAATTCTTAAGTTTATCTACAATCAACATAAACTGCTTCTATTTTATATATATATATATATATTTTTATCACAAAGATCCACCTGCCTCTGCCTCCAAGTGCTGGGACTAAAGGCGTGCACTCTCATACCCAGACGCTTCTATGATATTTTTAAAAAGGGAAAGTTAAAGCCTAATTAAAAAAAAAAAAAAGCTTAGCTTAGGTTTTTGGCTTGTGGCAATGAAGGACAACGTGTGTATCCCTAAAGGCATCTACTTGGTTTTGTTCCTGCTTGGACTTGTCCACTCAGATCTTATACAGATTTCCTCTAAGATAGTTTTTTCTTTCTGCAAATGCCTTAATCATATGTGCGTGCCATATGTCTGGAAAGCATGTTTTTTTCAGTTTCTGCTGAAGCTCATTCAGGCTCTGATTAGGGAAGGAAGCCACCATTCTGAGCAGGTTGGTGGCAAAGCTGTGCCCAAGGCCTGTACTTTAGTAGGGATCCCTTAAAAAGTTTGAGTGATGGAAAGAAATAACCAGAAAACAGGCAAAGGGATTTTTTACTTTTAAAAAATTTTATTTATGTATGTGTCTGCTTGTCTGTATGTGTACTACATACATGCAGATGTCAGAAGCCAGAAGAGGTGTCAGATTCCTCTGGAACTGGAATTATAGGTAGCTGTAACCTGATGTGGGTGCTGGGAGTTGAACTCAAGTCTTCTGCAAGAGCAGCAAGTACTCTTAACCACTGTGCTATCACTGTAGCCCTATTTGTTTGTTTTTTTGAGATAGGTCTCATATAGAACAGGCTGCCTAGGAATTGATATGTAGCTGAGGCTGACCTTGAACTCTACCTCCCAAGTGCTGGGATTACAGGCAATAATAAGGTCTTTATTTAATCCATATTCCAATTTTAGGCTTCTAGAGGAAGAGATGGTGAGAGGGCACTTGAAATCTCTGATACAGATTTCCTCTACGATGGTAAGTCACTTCAGGAGAGAAATGACAGAATAACTGGAAATCATGTTGAAGATCTGCATTCCCTAACTTAAAAAAAGAGTCAACAGCAACCCCATAACAATAGAAACAGATATTTTCATTAAAAACATTTGCATTTGGGTTGGTATGAAAGCCCGGTAAACAGCTGGGACTAGGTTTCTCTCAGGGTTGACAACACAACTGTAGCAGTGAGGAGTTAATAAAAAGACAAGCCATGTCAAGATTTGAGGGAAGAAGGACCACATTCATCTTCACTATAAGGCGTCAGTATCCACCCAGAAAGAAGCCCCCCAAACATAGCATTGGAAATGTGTTTAAAGCAAGTTTCTGATTAGTGGTTTAAATATTGAAGTTTGTAAATTTTTTTTCTTGAGAAAGGGTTTTACTGTGCATTCCTGGCCCTGAACTTGCTATGCAGATCAGGCTAGCCTAGAACTCAGAGATCTGCCTGCCCTTGCCTCCATGGTGCTGGGATTAGAGGCATGCACTACCATGCCCAGCTGTTTTACTTTTAAAAAGAATAAATTACTGTAGATAAGTAGGTTACATACAACAAAGTACTCTTAGATATTTGTATGCTTATGTTTTTGTTTGTCTTTTGAGACAGGGTCTCATGTAGCCCAGGCTGGCCTAGAACTCACTATGTAGCTGAAGCTGGTCTTGAACTCCCAATCTTCCTGCCTAAACTTCCTAAGTGCTAGGATTACAGGTATGTACCACTATGCCTGGCTTCTTAAATGAGAGTCAAAAAGGGCAAAATTTAACTATTAGCAAACAAGCCTCTTTTATATCATCTTGGCTAGAGTTGACTACTGCTCTTGTAGAGCAGAAAAAAGGGAGCTCTGGGTAGGTGTCTAGGTGGAATGCCAGGGGTGAGACTAACTTGTAGAGGTACTACTTTGTTCCAGAACTACAGAAAAGGAAGGTTAGGACAAGTGGTGATACAAAGGGGACTAAATGGGAGGCATGCACAGAGGCTGGAAGGAAGTAGGACTGGCCCTGTTCAATTTCAAGGGCACATCATTTTATACAGTGCTCATGATTTATATCAGTACAGAGAAGACTGGCAGCACAGCAGTTACACCAGGTTCCTCGTCAGTTCTTGTGGGGAGGGCCTTTATAGCTAGGGTGGAGCTGAATCCCTCTCCTCTCAGTTACTCATGAGAAACGCGTTCCAAGGCCACATAGAAACTGTTCTTGTCATCTAGGCAATGCCAGCCAATAGGTCCAATCTCACAGTCTGCACAGACCAGAAACTTGATGTTGCCCACATCCTTGGTGAAGCCCACATTCTCAAAGATGAACATGTCATTAACCAGCCAGTGTTCCTGCAGGAGATCACCATCAGGATTGCTGCCATCAGCCAGAGCCGGCTTCTTTCTCATGGAGGGGAGGAAAAGCTGCAGTGGAAGAGAACACAGGAATGTAAAGGCTGAACTGGCCCTGGTCCCATCATCACTTCCATTCTACTTATACTTTACCTGCTCGCTGGCTGCTTTCTAGAATGGGAAAAAAGGAAAAATAAAAAAATAATAATAATAAAAAGGAGAAAAGAAAAGAAAGAGCAGCCATTGCATTAGGTTATAGACTAGGGTGCTGGTTGTTGTTCTGGTGCCTGCCCTGATTCTTTTTCTTAAGATTTATTTATTTTTATTTTATGTACATAAGCGTCTTGCCTGCATGTAAGTGCACATGTGTGCTGATGCCTGCAGAAGCCAGAAGAAGGCATTAGATCCCTGGAACTGGAGTTATGGATGGTTGGTAGCCAACATGTGGGTACTGGGAATTGAACCTGGATCTTTTGCAGCCAGTGCTCTTAACCACTGAGCCATCTCTCCAGCTCCTGCCCTGATTCTTAAGAGATGTGGAAGAGGCACTTCTGCCAGTGGCCTTTCTGCTGTGTTGTCCATGGACTCCCCTTGGTCACTGTGCATCAGCTACACTGGCCTTCTTGCTTCCTTAACCAGCAGTAAATCTGCTCTGCCTGAAGACTTGGCATGGCCAGTCCCTTGTTGCTATTCAGCTCAGTGTGACCTCAGGGAGTCTCTGACCCATAACCTGAATGAATGCCATACTGTGTTCTCTTTCTCTTACATTCCCAATGCCTTGAACATATTTTTTGTTTTGTTTTTGTTTGGGGGTTTGGTTTTAATTTTTTTGGAGACAGGGTCTCTCTGCAGCCCCAGCTATCCTGAAACTCACTATGTAGACCAGGCTGGCCTTGAACTCACAGAGCTCTGCCTGGGATTAAAGGTGTGAGCCACCAGCATCATTATATATTTTTAAAAGAGCTTAACTGAAGTATAACTGATAATCTGCACAATTTTAAAGTAAATAATCTGATACATTTTGGCACATGTGTTGGTAAAAATACTATATTTAATGCAACACATTAGTTATCCTTTTTTTTTTTTTTTTTTTTTTTTTTTTTTTTTTTTTTGGTCTTTTTGAGACAAGCAAGGTCTCCCTGTAGCCCCAGCTGGCCTGCAACTCAATGTATAGACCAGGCTGGCCTCGAACTCACAGAGATCTGCCTGCCTCTGCCTCCCAAGTGCTAGCCTGGCACATGAATTAATCTTAAAAATTCCCTTGGCCCCAGTCACTGAGCCGCTGCCAAGGATTCAGCTGCCTCCCCCTCCAGCTCCCTCACTTCCTGATGCTCCATTCCCCTCAGCCCACCTTCTCCCACAGCCGCCTTTTGCAGGCTGTTTCCACAGAGGAAAAGGAATCGTATAGCATGTCCACTATCCAGAACCTCCACTCTTTCAACCCCTTTGCTGATGCAAGTAAGGGTGATGACCTGCTTCCTGCTGGCACTGAGGAAGAATTCAACAGAGAAACAGCAGGAAGGCCCTTACTATTTGTCCAAGGGATTGCTGATGATTATGGTAAAAAGAAACTAGTGAAGGCGTTTAAGAAGAAATTTTCCTGCAATAGTACTGTAATTGAGCATCCAGAAAAGGGAGAAATAATTCAGGTACATGGTGATCAGTGCAAGAACATACGTCAGGTCCTGACAGAGACTGGACTGGCTAAGGATGATCAGCTGAAGGTTCACGGGTTTTAAGTGCTTGTGGCTCTCTGAAGCTTAAGTAAGGATTTCCTTTCAATGAGTAGAATTTCCCTTCTGTCCCTTGTCACAAGTTAAAAAACCTCACAGCTTGTATAATATAACCATTTGGGGTCTGCTTTTAACTTGAACTAGTGTAACTCCTTCATGCAGTAAACTGAAAAGTGCCATGACAAAAAAACATTTCTCATAACATTCCATTTTATGTCTAATTTTCCGAAAGTCTTACTTATTATGTGGCTCTCTGCACTAGGCTATCAGCTCCTGAGCTGGATTTATCTCATAAAAAGGCAAAGCTAGCTTTAGAATCTGAGGTGTTATCCCCAAGATCTTGCAAACTTTAACCTGTATGTCTTCTCAATTGCTAAGTGAAAGCCTTTGGTGCATGTGCACATGCACACAAACACCTGCCTCCATTTCCTCTGTGTGAGTTGTAGGCACGATTTCTTAATATTTTATTTTATTTATGTGTATGAGTGCTTCGCCTGCATGCATGTAAGTGCACCATGAGCATACATACCCACAGAGACCAAAAGAAGGTGGATCCCCTACAACTGAAGTTACTGATGGTTGTGAGCTGACATGTGGGTGCTGGGAACTGAACCCACGTCTTCTGCAAAAGCAGCCAGTGCTCTTAACTGCTGAGCCATCTCTCCAGCCCAGTCTGGACACTTTCTATTGTAAAATGCATTTCCAGGAAAGCTTGTTATCCCTCTGCTCCTCTATATGACTGCTGTCCTACCATGTATTTCCTACTCACAGAACTTTTATTTTGAGAAGGGTCTTGTTATAGCCCAGGCTGTCTCAAGGTAGTGATCCTCCTGCCTCAGCCACCTGAGTGCTGGGATTAAAGATATGTATCACCATGCCTAGATCCACAATACTATTCTAATGTAGCTCCAAACTCTAATTAATAAGGCAAGATGACCCCATGCGCTAGTCTGGCATTCCCAATTAGAAGGAAGGCAAAACATACATATATTTCATTCTGTTTTTTGAGAGGTTTTGCTACATACATACTAGGCTGCATTAGCCTCCCAAATGCTAGTATTACAGGCATGTGTCACTATACTTGGCTCCAAAAAAAGGTTTTTGTTTTAGACAAAGTCTCACTATGCAGCCCTTGTTGACCTGGAACTCACAGAGATCCACTTGCCTCTGCCTCTTGACTGCGGGATTAAAGGTGTCTGCCACCATATCCAGCCAAAAGGTTTTAAAAACATTAAAAAGGTTCTGCTTCCCATGCCTACTTAAAGATGTGATTGCTCAGCTTTCTGCTCCGACCACCTCTGCTGCCATGTCTCCTCCGACATTATGGACTCTAATGCTCCAAACCATTTGTACATTTCTCAACTTCTCACCAGAGAAGCATCTTCTTGCAATAGCTAGAGATTAACACAGAAATCCACAACTTGTCAATATGCATAAAATAAGTAACCTATATCATGCCCTCTTCTCCTAAGTCCCAGGGACCATTGCAGAAGAGGGGGCAGAAAGATTAACCAACTTCTTCAGGTTCCAATGTCAACTGAAAAACAATAGCTCTCCAGAAATTCTCCAGGCCTTCAGCACCAGATTGGGACTGCTGAGACATCCAGCCTTGTGGCCTGAGCAACTACTGGATTCTTGGCCTCTCTGGGGTGGCAGAGCCATGGTTGGACTACTCAGACTCTTATCTTAATTGCTCTCTCTGCTTCCTGTGTGTGACTGAAGTTGCGAGTGCTCAGCTTTCTGCTCCAGCTGTCTCCTACCATGCCTCCCTCACCATGATGGACTCCTTTCCCTCTGGATCCATAAGCCAAAAAACTCTTCCTTCTGTAAGTCACCTTGCTTGTTTTAACACAGCAAGAGGAAGGCAAGTACTAATATAGAAGTTGGAAGGTATAGGGAGGTGGGGATGGATCTGAGAGTTGATGGGGGAGGGAGTCTGAATAGCATCAAAAAACACTGTATGACATTCTCAAAGAATCAAAAGTGTTAAAAGACCCAGGTTTGGTTCCCAGTACCCATATGGTAGCTAACAGCCATCTATAACTCCAATTCCAGGGGATCCAAGACCATCTTCTGGCCTCTGCAGTCACTGTGCACATGTAGTACACTTACATATATGCAGGCAAAACATTCATAAATATAAAATAAAAATAAGAATAAAAATTTTTAAAAAGACAGGCATAGTGCCTTATGCCTGTAATCCCAACACTTGGGAGGCTGAGGTGGGAGGATCTCCATGAGAGACCTTGTCTCAAAATAAAAAATAAATTAGACTCACAACAGCCCTCAAAAGATAAAGAAATGCTTTGGTATTGATGAAGAAAGACCTTTCTTCCCAGTTACAGCACAGTTTCATGAAAGGCTGGTATGTATTAACACCTTGCAGGTAGTGTTTTTTTTTTTCTTTTTTCTTTTTCTTCCTTGATGTCTAGGCCAGCCTGGCCTGAACTTATGTTCCTCTCGTCTCCACCTCCACATGTACATGTGTCTGTGCCTGAGACCCAAACTCTTCATCCCAATACCAAGAACAGTCCTATGGCCAGGTCAGTGAATATGATATTTGGAATTAAAGCTTTCTGGGTAGAAATTTTAAAAAATCTAATTTGAGGCAGGTGACTTGGTTGTGGCTAAGTCCATGGCCAGATGAGTTATTTTTGCTGTTAGGTTCATAGCTTGTTAGTTCTCTTAGTCCTGCACAGCCTCTTCAGAAATAGAGCATCACAACTCAGTGGGATGCAGCTGGCATACTGTTCACACTACCCTTTTAAAACTAAACTATTTCCTTTCTCATTGTAAAAAACATGGTCATAGAAAGCTGGACAATCATGCTACAATAGAGAAGGAATAAAAACTATTACAGCACAGAGTAAACTGTTAACATTGCATAGTTATCCCTCTTCCTGAAGTACCTGTGGTCGTTTAAAAACATCTGAAAATTCTTTGACAATCCTGCCACCAGAAGATGTAGTCGGTGCCTCTCCCCTTGATCACAGGCAAGCCACGGTGATTGCTATAATAACTAGATTGTACTAGAAGAGACAGGCCAGGTTAGAAAAGGGCATACAAGCTTCATGTGGTAATACACACTTACAATGCCAGCTATTTAGAGAGAGTATTAGGACTACAAGTTCAAAGTGAGTCTGGGGCTGAGACTATAGAGCTCAGTGGTACAGTACTTGCCTAGCATGGGTGAGGCCCTAGGTTCAATTCCCAGCACCATAAAACAAACAAACAAAGCCAGTCTGGGTTACATAAGTGAGACTATCTCAAAGGAGGGGAGGGAAAGGAAGTAGGATGGGGGTGGGGGAAGTAGAGAGATATAGCACAGTGATGCAGCAT